GAGTATAAAAATGGTTCAGAATCAGGAGAATACAGTAGTGCATATCTCAGAACCTTTTCCTGCAGATATTCTTCCATCTCCTTGTGCTGGGGCATTTACAAAGTTCTAGGGCCAGGACTAACAATGTGTAGTCCAATGACGATCTGCTGAGAAGGGTTGTCTTTTTTTATTTTTATTTTTTAAATTGGGGAAACATTTCCAATTTTTATTCTTAAAAATAGGAATCAAAATTGCAAAAGAAGATTTATAGTCACTTCTGAATAAGAGGGTCATTTTGGAACGTCACAAGAACACATACTCAGATGGAAATCTAGTTAAACTGCGGTTGCTGCTCAGGTTGCATTCATTCCTGCATTTTCTCAATCAGTTCTTCCTTGTATTTGCCTTTCTCTTTTCCAACTTGGTGAGATTTGGCTTTATGTTCAAGAATTTTTTCCCAATCTTTATCCAATTTCAGCCTGGTGATAACCACCTTGCGTGGGTGAATTCCCACATGCACAGTTGTACCTTTAGCCTTCTTGCGCTGCACTCTTCGGATGTAGATGACATACCTCTTTCTGTACACCTGGACTACCTGGCCAATTTGAATTGTCCTCGCACCACTTGAACCTTGTCATCCTTGCGGATGGGCATGGAGCGCACATTGTACTTCTGCCGCAGCTCCTTGGACAGAGGGGAGGACATGATCTTCCTGCGCACATGTGAAGGGGCATTGAAGTGGCGTTTGCGGTTCTTGCTGCTGTCCGAGGTAAGGAAAGGGTTGAATTTCATGGTGACAGCCGTCCAGCAGCGTCAGGCTCTCCACGTGCAGGGTTGTCTTTCTTTGGGGTGCATTTGTGAAGCAGAATCAGAAGCCAACTGGCCTTGAGTGGTTATTTACCCCTGCATGAATTGACAGGCCTCTCAAGATCTTGGCTTGGCAGCAGTCAAGACATCATTCATCACTGAGACAACAGACCAAAAAGAAATCTCTTCCTTGCCTTGACCCCTTTATCTCATTCCCAGTGTATTTTATTCATCAGAGTTAAAAGAAGAAGAAGAAATCTGTTTCCTCCTCTGTTTGAATTCTGTTTTTTTGCTAGCAAGTTTGGAAGGACTTCAACTTTTGTAATGACAGTAGCTTTAACCAACTTTACTCAAGGCTCTGTTGTTGTTGGTTGCAGATGGACTCTCATTCGTGGTGATGACATATGTGTAGAGAACTATCCCACAGGGTTTTCCAAGACTGTGACCTTTAGGAAGCTGATTGCCAGGCCTTAATTCTAAGGCTCCTCTGGGTGGATGTGAACTGTCAGTATTGCAGCAAATGATCTTTGGTACTATCTTGAATGTTATGGGCTTATGCGTAGTTTCCAAAATACAGATCACAATATCTTCTAAATCAACACACTTAACAATATCATGCAAATAAAATTTTCATAGCTTAATGGCACTAAATCTTGTTGCACCTGAATGGGGGAGTGTTTAGTATTAGGATTTTTCAGTAGTATAATTGTCTTTATCTGTATACACAACCTCAACCTTGTTTATAAATTGCATTTTAGAAATCACCGTGATAGCCACAAAGCCACATTCTGTACTGCATATATTCAAAGTTTTTAGTTCCTTCAACCACCTTCTGGCTGCAAGATGTCTCATTTCTCAATTGAAGAAAGAAGTTTGGATAGTTTCGATAACCTTGAAGTCGAAGGGGCTTCATTCTCCTGGTTTATCAGCAAGGTCTGGTGGTGGGCGATTTATCAACAATCTGCATTATGTGGATGACACAAGTCTGCTTGCTGAAATTGAAGAGGACCTGAAGCGCCTGCTGAAGAGTGTCAACGACTGCAGCCTACAATATGTATTGAGGCTCAATGTCAAGAAGACAAAGATTCTCACCACTGGACCAATTGGCAGCATCAGGATGGATGGTGAAGAGATTGAGATTGTACACAGCTTTAGTTTGCTTGGCTCCATAGTCAACAGTCTTGGCACCAGCAGCCAGGAAATTAAAAGGCGCATTGCCATGGGAAAGTCTGCTGTTAGGGACCTCTCCAAAGTACTGAAGAGCAATGGTGTCTCTCTGGAGACTAAGGTGCATCTGTTACAGGCCATGGTCTTCACAATCACTTGTTATGCATCAGAGAGTTGGACAATGACCAAGGAGGATAGAAAGAGAATTGATGCCTTTGAGCTGTGGTGCTGGCGAAGAGTATTGAGAATACCATGGACTGCTAGGAAAACAGATTTGTCCTGGAAAGGGTTAAACCGGGTGGCTCCTTGGAGGAAAGGATTCTGAGGCTCCGTCTAACATACTTTGGGACATGTTGTGAAGAGAGACTGGTCCTTAGAGAGGGACATCATGCTTGGGAGGGTGGAGGGACAGTGCAGGAGAGGAAGGCCCTCTATGAGGTGGATTGATTCAGTGACTGGGATAATTGGGATGGGAGTGTCAGAGACAGTGCGATTGGCACAGGACAGAGTGGAGTTTAGGGCTGTTGTACATAGGGTGGCTATGAGTCGCAGGCGACTCGACGGCACATAACAACAACAACAACAACAACTGACAGTAGAATGGCTTTGGCAGTCCAAGGCAAACCTTGATATTGTTGTTATGTGCCTTTGAATATGTTATTAGAAAGTTCTGATGCCCAGAGAAATACGTCATGCTTGGTAAAGTAGTGACTCAGGGGAAAGAAAGAATATCCTCCATGAGATGGGATAACACAACATAAGCATAGCAACAATTGTGAGGATAGGGCAGAAAATTCATTTTGTTGTACATTGTGGTGGTGGTGTTGGGTCAACTCTGACTTATAACAGCTCTATGTACAACACATCAAAACCTTGCCTGATGCTGTTATTTCCACAACCTCCTCTGTGCTTAGGTGCATTGTTGCAGTCATTGCGTAAGTTCATCTTGTTGAGGGTCTTCCTCTCTTTCATTGACCCCCCACCTTTCCAATCATGATGTCTCCTTCCAAGCACTGATCCTTCTTGACAACATACAAAGTATATGAGCTAAAAGCTCACCATTCTTGCTTCTTCTTCTTTTTTATTTTTTTACTAGTTTCTTTACAAAATTCAAATATAAATTTGAACAAATTCTTTCAATTTCCCTCACCTTGCCACCCATCAAATTGTACAACCCAATGATTAATATGCCCTTCCCTCTGCACATCCACATCCACATCCACATCCCTCTGTTTCCAGCCTCTCCAACCCCTCCTGGATCCTTATACTCATTTTACAATAACGGACTTATACAATATTTATTCTCGTGGGACTGAGTTCACTCAGCATAACGCTCTCCAGTCCCTCGCAAGTTAGGTAATAATTTACAAAGTTATTGCTCCTGCATGCTGCATAGTATTCCATTGTGTGAATGTACCATAATTTCTCAATCCATTCGTTTGTGGTTGGACATTTGGGCTGTTTCCATGTTCTTGCGATGGTGAATAATTGCTTCTAAGGAGTACTCTGCCTGCACTTCTTCCAACATAGATATTTTGTTTGTTTGTTTTGGCAGTCTATGAGATACTGAGCAACTCTTCCCCAATACCACGATTCAAAAGCATAGGTTCTTCTTTGGTCTTCCTTATTCATTGTCCAAATTTCACATACATATAAAGCAACTGAAAATATCACGGTTTGGGTCAGGTGCACCTTGGTCTTTAAACTGGCATCCTTGCTCTTTAGCAATGCTGTCCTTTGATTTCTTGACTGCTGTTATGAATGTTGATTGTGGATCTAATTAAAATGAAATTTTCTGGAAATTTGCTCTCTTGGGATGCGAATTGATTAAACAAACAAATAAATAATGAAATTAGAGGGGGAAATCCAACCTCTAAAAATGACTCTTATACAGTCAAGCAACGATTTTAGTTGATATTTCACTCTTGAAATGTAATTGTATGGACGCTCTAATGATATTATTACAAGTAAGAGCAATACCCTATCCTCCATTCTCCTTAACCCTTGAGGGACACTTTAATTACCTCACTCAGGTAAGTTGGGAGTTGTCTGCTACAAGCGTCCTTGTTCATGCTTCAGAGCTGTATGTGTTCTTGCTTTTCCAGCTCAACACATTAATGAAGTCAAAATACCAAGTTTCTAATTATTTAGGATTTGCATAAGTCTCAAGTGCACCCATCCATACTTTTTAAAAAAAATCTCTTAAAGTGACATGGTCTGGTCTTCTTGGAGAGCTTTCTCTATTGTTCGTTTTATTCAAGGGTGTTGGGTTTATGGTTAGTGCAATTTGGTTTTAAAGCGTGCTAAGAATTGATCAGCGACTTCTCCTTGAGAGTTTGTGAATTCCAGTGACAACACCGAATTTCGAAACTTTGTTTTTCCTTTCACTTAGTCGAGAGAGTTCTCGAGCAGGAGACAATCTGCAGGACAGATAAGACAGAGGCTCCTGCGTGCATGGTGTGTGTACCCGAAAGGACACCAGACTACAACTATCCTCCTTAAGACGAAAGTGAGATCGAATCTTCCGGTCTCCAAGTCACCTACAGGTTTGCCTGTTCAAAAAGTTGCCTCCTGCGCACCTCTGGTTCTCACAGTAATGCAAAGCTTTTAGAGAATCTCTCAGAAGAGCGGCATTAAGTGAAGGTGGCTACGTTGGTTTCTAGGTTGCAAGGCTTGCTTCCTTCTGGAGAGTGGGTAGAAGAGGACACCATGGTTTCTTGGTACTTGAGCACGGAGTTCTGCTCCGCTTTATTTAACTAGGAGGTTAGAGAAATACACACAATCCGGCGGTAACACCACCTGTCAATTTCCTTCTCTTCCCTGCTCCCTCTTCCGCTGGCACCGCCCCACGCCCGGCCCTCTGCCCCGCAACCAGAAAGCAGCGCTCTGGCCTCTCCCGCGCTTCTCCCCAGCCACCCGCCGCGGCCTGCTTTATATAGACGCCGCAGCCAATGGGAGCGCTCCTTTCCTTCTTCTCGCGTGACTGGCCAATGGCCGCGCCGCTTGTGTAATCTTCGTCTCCTCGGCTGCTCTCGGCTATTTTCGCTGTTGCTGGCATTTCCAGGGCTGCTAGCTCGCAGCCAGAGACGCTGGTTTTTTTTCCGGGTTCGGAGCCGTTCCGGATGCTTTAGGCTGCCGGATGTCTGATCTCCGGATAACTGAGGCGTTTCTGTACATGGATTATCTGGTAGGTGCGGGACAGGGGTGGTGTGTAGCTTCTCAGGTGCCGACGTGCCCTCTGTCCCTTTGCCTGGAGGAGCAGCCTTTTTGCTTTCTTTCTTTGGGATGGGATGCCTTTGGGGTTCTTTCTCGTGCCGACGGCTGGAAGCTGTGCCCGGAGCTCGGACAGGCAGCCGCCGTTGTCGCAGGGCAGCAGCGCCGAGGGGGTGGTCGGGCTGACAGGTAAAGGTGCGGCCGGGGCTGCGGGGCGAGGGTCGCGCTGGGGCTGCCGCGGAGCTGGGGCCGCCGCGGCGTGGCGCCCTCCCGCGCTTTGCGTCTGCTTCCCACCGCTCTCCGTCAAGGACTTTCCCTTCGGGGAAACTGGAGTTTTCCGCTCTCGCGCCAGCAGAACTCCAGGTACTATTAAAGAGCCATAAGCAGAATGGGTCTCTTAAGTGCCTGGCAGCCCCGCTCATTTGCTGGTTATTAGATCTCTAAAGCTATGACCTGGGTCGCGGCAGGGTTTTAAAAGCACATTACCATAAAGTCAACGGGACTAAACTACCTTGTCACCTGGTCGGAACTGGACTGGGTAGGTTTTGCCCCACCAGCTGGCTCAAGTTGTGGGTGCAAACTGCTCTTACCCCGTGCAGGGATTGGTTCCCTGCGGTGCTTCTAGGCCGGGCTTGTGCTAAAAAGTTTAGGTAGGGAAAGTGTCAGCGCACAGCCAAGACTGAACGTTGTTTCAAAATAAATAAATAAATAAATAAATAAAATTGTGTGCATGTTTGTGGAATTATGCAAGCACCGTATATTGTTCGAGAAATCGCCCTTCCTCAGAGCTGCATGCTTTTGGTCAAGGGAATCCTCATTGACATTGGCTGTGTCAGATCCTATACAATTACTCTGTTTACACTGTGTGCTAGAACCGCTATTGCAATGCAGAGTTGAAGGACAGTTGAAAACACTGGCCCTCCTTGTCATTTTGTTGAGCACATGTGCTCGGTTTGCTACTGCAGATTGCCCTGGCAGAGATTTGTCACTGCCTTCTAGGAATCCCTCTTTAGTCTGTACTCAGAAAGATTTTGAATGCATTCCTGATAAAGAAATGCTGGACAGTGACTGGTTTGGCAGTGTTGTAAGTGCTTTTGGAATTATTGTCGTTTACATGAAGAACAAGTAAAGCTTTAAGGCTTTAAGGCTTGATGCTCTTGTGGCGAAGAACGGACTTTGCAGTTAATGCTTGACCTTGTGAATGGATCACTACACCAGAGCAGAGAATTCTGAGTTCGGATTCTGTTTTCATCTTCTTTTGGTGATGGCAGTACCTTGATTTACGTTTGGGACAGAGGCATAACAAGTACTTGCTACCATTAAGCGTATTATCTGGTACAAAGCATGCTTTTAAAATGCAAAGTGCCATTCAGGTTAAGAGAATTTCCTATGATGACGGAAAGATTATTTTTGAAATGAAATACTCATTAATTTGTAGCTTGTCTAATAGAACACACTATTGTAGTTTTGCCTTGAAATCTGAGAGTTTAAAGCCAAATTTGGGGATAATTATTACTAGGAAGCGAAGGGCAAAAATATCTATACTACTGGAACCTAATTTTGGATACTCCCAAAGGGAATCATAGAGTTCTGATCATTTTATTATATTCTTTTTACACTAGAGGTGGTTTAAATGTACAAATTCTATCAGAGGCTATTTATGAGATGCCAAACCTGCCAAAACCATTTAGTGAAAACAATAATGCAAATACTGGTTAATTACAAAAAATAACCTCTAGATAGGAATAGCATAATTGTGGGTAGATGAATGCTTGTGGGGTGCTCTCTCTCTCTTCTTTCATTGTTGTTGAGCCAGATACAACTCAGAGCCGGCCCTCCAGTTTCTAAGGCAATAAGTTACATACGAGGAGATTGCTCATCTGTCTCTCTCAGAGCAGTGGGTGATATCTTAGGGTTAGCAGCACAGCTTTTTGCTAGCACACCAGCAACAGAGCTCCCTTTTGGGGCTGTTATTATTAGATGCCATCGAGTCACCTTGTGACTCATTTACATGTACATGTACAACAGCTCTGAACCCTGTTCTATCTTGAGCCAATTTCACTGACACACCTATCCCCATAACCCTAGTCATTGAGTCAATCCATCTCATCCAGGATCTTTCATCTTCTCTTATTCTGTCCCTCCACCCTTCCAAGCATGATGTCCTTCTCCAGAGTGATGTGAGATGGAGCTTCAAAATCCTTGCCTCCAAGAAGCAGCCTTGTTTTATCCTCTCCAGGACAGACTTGTTTATTCTCTTATCAGTCCTTGGTGTGTTCAGTATTCTTCTCCAGCACCACATCTCAGAGGCATCAATTCTTCTGTTATCCTTAGTCATTGTCTACCTATCTGATGCATAGCGAGTCATTGTGAAGACCATGACCTGGATCAGATACACCTTAGTCATTAGACTGACATTGTTGTTCTTCAATACTGACAGCAGTTTTTCCCAATGTAATTTGTCTTTTGATTTCCTGACAACTGGTACCAAGAGTGTGGAGCCAAGCAAGCTGAAGCTGGTAACAATCACAATGTCTTCTCCATGATAAAGCTGCCAGTTGGCTCAGTGGTGAGAATGTGTTGCTGTTTTTTTTGATGTTGAGCATAATTTCATATTGAAGGCTGCAGTCCTTGACCTGCAGAAAATACCACAGGTCCTCCCCAGTTTCAGCAAACAGGGTTGTGTCATCTGCATAATGCAGGTTGTTGATGAATCTTCTTCCAATCCTGATGCCACATTTCTTTTCATGAAGTACAGCCTCCTGGATAATCTGTTCTGCATATAGATTGAGAAAGCATGGAGATAAGATTCATCCTTGATGTACACCTTTCCCAATTTTGAACCATGCAGTGTTTCCTTGCTCTGTTTTGACAACTGCCTTCTTTTTTTTTTTTTTCTTTTATTTTATTATTTTGTGTGTGTACCGTCAAAT